CCATGGGACCTATGTTTCTTTGGGCCTCGCTTACTTCACTTAATATAATTTTTCCAAGCCTTTCCATTTCCTAACAAATGGGGCAATGTCACTCTTTCTGATGGAGGCATAGAATTCCATTGTGTATATATACCAATTTTCTTGATCCATTCATCTACTGAGGGGTATCTGGGTTGGTCCTAGAATCATTCTTAATGAAGGAATCCTCAATGAAATGTCTAGCCGAATTATCTGTCAATCTATATGAAAGTCAATAAGTGGAGTTTGCGATATATAAATACAAATGGAAAAGATGTTGAACCGAGAAATATTCTAGAAAAAAATATTCTAGAACAACATTTCATGCTATAGTAATTAGACCTTCCGGTCTTTTGCAATCTTCTTTAACAGAAGTAATCAGAAAGTGGCCAGTTGCTTGAGTAGGAGCAGAGGTGATAATGCAGTGGTCTGCAGATGTGCTGTGTGAACCCTCAGGCTTGTATAACCCCTTGGATGCATCTGGCAAATTGTAATCAAATAAAAAAATACACTGAGGATTTCTCATAGCTGGAAAAGGGTCTCACAGTTGTGAAATGGTCATAGATGGCAAAGAACCTGGAGGTGTTGGACTGGAAGGAGGGTGAGTGGAAGGAAATGCCTTATCAACTTAATGGAGGTATAATTTACCCACAATGCAATGCCCTTCTGTGAGCATTACAGTCCCCTAAGTTATGACAGCTCTCTAATGTGAACACATAAATCATTCTATTTTTCTCCAAATTCTCAGGTACACCCTGATTTCTTCTTTTCCCCCTGCCCTCTTCACTATACAACCAGTAACCCATTATTGGAGAATTCTATTACTATACATTTGCTTGTTCAACAATTACATGCCAACGCAATCATGTGGACTAGAGTATTCTCTCTATCACTTAATTCACATTGTTAGTATTCCTTTCTGCTAATCCTAGCATCAATACATTGATCATTCTTATTCTTGAGTAATATTCCCTTTTATACTTATACTATATACGTAATAGCCTGTAAATGATTATATAATATACAATCATGCATACAATTCAGCCACCTGTTGAATCACATTTGCATTGCTCTAAGTTTTTGCTATTTTTTAACAGCAGCTATGAATACTGGGGTAAATGTGCAGAGGTAAGCTTTCCTTCCATTCACTTCATAAATGTCTGAAAGTATTTACTTCCAAATGAAAAGAAACTTGCTAAATCCTATGCCGAGTGTACCACTTACTTTATGTGATCCTGAAATTCTGTTGCTCTATTTTACACTATATTTATCAACACCCCATCACTAAAACAAATACCTGAGACAATCAGCTTATAAAGATCAAAGGTGGAGTTCCACTCAGAGATGTGGCAATTATGTTCGTGACTGGCTGGTCTTTCTCCTGTGCCGGTGGCAATGCGGCAGGTCATGAGAGGAGTATTCCCTCAGGGCTGGAAAGAAATCAAAGACCGTGAAGAGGAGGCTAGGGCAAAGGCAAAAGGCTAGGACAAAAATCCTTCAAGTGCATGCGTCCTAAAGACCTAAAAATTACCTATTAGACTCCATATCGTTCAGGGGTCAGCCGCCTTATATACTTCTATATACTTATACTACCTTACACTACAGGGCCTTGAGTTAAAACTCCAGTACCACAAAAAATAAAAAAAAAAGGTTTCACAACTGGCCAATAGTGCCACTGTCGGCCTAAAATGTGGATCTGGGGGGCACACTTATCCAAACCTTGACACGATAGCATTAGAAATGCATGAGAATTGCATTGATTTACATCTTTAACACAGTTGGGATTTTAACTTGTAACCATGATAGTGGGCTTGTGGTGGTGTCTATCTCTCGCTTTAGTTTGCATTTCCCTGATAAGGAACACCCATCTATAGTCATTGCCTTTAAAAACATTCTCCCCAGGAGTCCTTTATGTGAGTGAGTGGAGATACCATGAACCACCACACACCAGGAGCCTGGGAAGCGTTCTGGCCTTGACTTCTTCCTCAACATACACCAAAAGTCACTAAGCACGCAGCATCCCACTACCTTCACATGTGTCACGCCCACCTCCTCTACTCATCTCCAAGCCTGCCACCTTAATTCAGACGTATTCTCTAGAAACATTTACTCTTCAGAGAGCTGAGGTTCACTGTGTCCAATCCTATTTCTTCAAACGGTCCTCACATGAATAAACTGGTAGTCATTGTGATCATGTTATTTAGCCACATTATGTAACCATTTACAGTGAAGTCTATGCTCTGTCACAGTACACAGGGACCTCTAAACCCCTCTCCAGCATCCTTCTTTTCTGGTGTTTCTTTTTACATCAAGGCACAAGTCAGCATGACCTAGTCACTACAGGCCGATCCATCTCACACCTAGGCCTTCTAGCCACAGGAGGCCTTTCCTTATGACTCTGCCATATCATTCTCAGGCATACAGCTGACAGAGAGTAAATCAACATACAGGAAAGGTATCAGCCTACTCATGTGTATTGCTATTCTGTTCACAGTAGCTGAACTGTGGAATCAGCTCAGATACCCAACCACTGATGAATGTATAAAAGCAACTATGATACACATGTGCATACAAACAACATGAAATATTACTTAACAATAAAGAAAAATAAAATCATGTCATTGGCTGGAAAATAGGTACAACTGGAGATGATCATGTTGTCAAAAATAAACTAAGGTCAAAAAGCCAAATACTGTATGTTCCTCTCATTTATGGACTAGGGAGCTAAAATGACGACGATGACGATGAACTGTGTGGAAGGAAAACATGAGGAATTGGAAGGAGAAGCAAAAAGGACTGAAGGATGTTGTAACAAACCCTTCAAACGCTGTTTGTAAAGGGGAGAGACAAAGGAGGAATGTGACCATGGTAGATGGGCTGAAAGCATGCCACAAGCACAAAATTGGAAATGCTGTAATGAAGCCTCCTTATATTTCAAGTGGACACTTCTATAAAAAGTAATTAGTAAAGAAGTGTTTTGTTTTTGGTTGTGTGTTATGATCTATCAACATCTGAACCATGGGGATTTGAAGCCATTATCCCGTAGGCCGATGGTCTGCTCCTCTGAGATCCACACCATCTATCTTAGGAAGAAGGTGAATCCCCAGACCCACCACCATCCAAATGCTCAGGAAGTCTGACTCATACTGTGCTCCCACAAGTCTGTCCATTTGCAAGAGTTTCATGTGTGTGGCTCCTGCTGGGTATTACAGTAGTCCTTGGCAGATCTTTTTCTTCTGTGCATTTGTCCCCAGGGCCCAACGAAAGAGAGACAGAATAATAAACACTATTTCTTTTCTTCTGTTAGGCGAGGATTCTGCCTATTGTGTATCCTTGTCCCCTGGGGACACTCAGATGTCTGAGGAGGTTGGGGGGGGGAGCTTGGAGGAGAGACCCAGACATAAAACCTGCTCCGCTGGTATTCCCACTGAGCCAGCCCCATCCCTGCATGAGCCTGAGGCAGGCAAGCAGCAAGGACTCAACACTTGAAGGTCCCTTTGTCAGAAGCCACTGGGAGCAGGGAGGCCACCCCTGGTTCTGATGAGTATTTTCCTCTAGATCTGGTGATATTTCTCTCTCTCTCTCTCTTTTTGTCAGTTGTGGGGCCTGAATTCTGGGCCTGGGAGCTGTCCCTCAGCAATTTAGCTTAAGCGAGCACTCTACCACTTGAGCCACAGCACCACTTTTGGCTTTTTCCATCTATGTGGTGCTGAGGAATCAAACTCAGGGCCTCATGTATGTGAGGCAAGCACTCTACCACTGAGCCATCTTCCCAGTCCCTGGTGATAGTCCTGAGATAAGTTTAGGGGTGGTACCACAGGGAATGAAAGGTCTTTTTCCTCCAAAAATGTATGATGGTTTAGAGAAGCTGGGTCTGGAGGAAAGAAGGTTCCATAAGTCAATACACCGAATACGAAGCTCAGGTGAAGTTATGGGCAAAGGGGTTGGTGTCTGCAGACATAGAGTCATGACTGCCCACTGATGCTGCCTCATTCACCATTTAATATTTGGATACACTGTGGAAGGTCTGGGTTTTACATTTCCATCATTCTTATAGCTGTGTAGTTGGTAGAATAGCAGCCAGACAACTTTATACCAAAGTTGAAAGAGGTGATTAGAATACAGGATGTACCCTTCCAATGTTGTTTCTAAATTACTTTTTATCCATTGATTGTGCCATCAACCCACCCAACCATGCGTCTGTTCATTCATCATATTGGGTTCTGTCTAAATGCTTATGGGTCTTTTTTTAAGAAACAAGATTAATGGTGTCACTTTTGCTTATGCCTACAGAGGCAATAAAAGTTCAATTTCTCCAAGGTAACATCAGGAACTATAAATTTTAATATTATCTTCATTTACTAATGTCTCAAAACTAATAAACACTGACGGAAACATTAACTAATGTTACAAGTGTCAGTTTCATTCTCTCTACCCTCCCTACCTCTCTTCCTCTTTCTTCCCTCTTTCCTTCCTTCCATTCTATAATTATTCTTTGATCATGTATCACGTGTATATTATGTGCAGCCTACTGCAATTATACAGTAAAAGGAAGCCAAATAATGAAGAGAGCTTAGTAACAAAATGTGAAAACAATAAATTAACAAAAAATAGTGTGTGTGATATATGGCAATGTTCCCATCTCAAAAATGATGTACTTAGTAATTCTGAAAAACAAACTACATATCATGATAGTAAAAATGTAAATCTTGAAATCCAAGGTAAGTAAAATTCGATAGAATAAACATAGCATATGACAGAACTTATATAGGCAGGAAATGAAAACCTTTCTGCCTTACTGGGGATTCAATGATTTGTCAGGACTCTGAAGTGATTGCTGACTGAGGCACTCCACCGTGCACAATACAGACCCTCCAGTTCCTATACAATGCCTAGCTGACATCTAATCCATATCTTCTTTGGCTTCGCAGCATACATCGCAGTGCCACAGCAGAGACCAACGCAGGTCCCGTCACGAGGGCATGACTGAGAATCAGACATGGGTCCCGGAGTTTGTTCTTCTGGGATTTCCAGTCAGCGCCAGGACAAAGCTTTTCCTCTTTGGCCTCTTCTCGTTGTGCTACATGTTCACTCTGTTTGGGAATGGCATCATCCTGGGGCTGATCTGGCTGGATCTTAAGCTTCACAGCCCCATGTACTTCTTCCTCTCACATCTGGCCATTGTTGATATTTCATATGCATCCAACAATGTCCCCAAGATGTTGGCAAACCTTCTGAACAAGAGAGAAACAATTTCCTTTGCTCCGTGCATAATGCAGACCTTTCTGTACCTGGCTTTTGCTCATGCTGAGTGTCTCATGCTGGTGGTCATGTCCTATGATCGGTATGTGGCCATCTGCCATCCCCTGCAATACTCTATCATCATGAGCTGGAGAGTGTGTACCACTCTGGCTGTCACTTCCTGGACTTGGGCCTTCCTCCTGGCTCTGGTCCATGTCATTCTCATCGTGAGGCTGCCCTTCTGTGGGCCTCATGAAATCAACCACTTCTTCTGTGAAATCCTCTCAGTGCTCAAGCTGGCCTGTGCTGACATCAGGCTCAATCTATTGGTCATCTTTGCAGCCTGTGTGTTCATCCTGGTGGGTCCCCTGAGCCTGGTGCTGGTCTCCTACATGCGTATCCTGCTGGCCATCCTGCGGATTGGGTCAGGGGAAGGCCGCAGGAAGGCCTTCTCCACTTGCTCCTCCCACCTCTGCGTGGTGGGGCTCTTCTTTGGCAGCGCCATGGTCATGTACATGGCCCCCAAGTCCAGCCACCCCGAGGAGCAGCAGAAGATCCTTTCACTGTTCTACAGTCTTTTCAACCCCATGCTGAACCCCCTGATCTACAGCCTGAGGAATGCCGAGGTCAAAGGGGCCCTAAAAAGGGTGGTGTGGAAGCAGAGATCAAGGTGATGCCATGTCTGGGAGAAGTCTTGAAGGGAGAAGATATGTTCTCTATGAGAATTGCAATGGGCATAAAATGGCTGGACAGTTCCATTTCTTTGATTTATGATGTCCTGAATGTTTATTGAATAGATTCTGTTTATAAATACAGAGTACTGATCAGGCAACAAAGCAGAAAGCAAAAAAAATCACAGACAGCACAGGCCATAGAACTCAGAGGGTAACAAAGAATTAAGAGCTATGAATTCACTTAATATAATTTTTTCCAAGTCTTTCCATTCCCTAACAAATGGGGCAATAAGTGAAGGAAGCCAGGTCCAAAGAAACATAGGTCCCATGGTTTCCCTTATTTGCAATAACTAGTATATGTCTGAGACAAGCAGAAAAGGTCAGATAAGTTGGTTTTAAGCGAAATGAACCCCAAGTTAAGGACTCAAATGATTTTTTCTTTCTTGCTATTGTGTCTAACATATTTATAAGATATTTCTTTGTTGCTTTGTATGTCCCTCCTCCACAGTATAACCCCTGTTTTCACTGTATTTGATGTTGGTATAATTTGTGGAGGGGAAGGGAGAAAACAAGTTGTTTAAATAGGGATACAGGTGGACCCGCTGCACCAGTGAGATGTACAAGATGTTATGTCGAAAATGAACTATACATCTTTGGCATGGGGTGGGGGGGTGGAGGGGAGGTGGGGGGGCATGGGAAGGGAGGGTAAGGGGAAACAATGGAGAAGGCTACAATGCTTGATAAGAAATGCACTCATTACCTTGTCCATGTAATTGTAACCCCTCTGTACAGCATTTTCACAAGAAAAAAGAAAATAAAGAAAAAAACCTATGAATTCCTCAAAGGTGCTATTCATTCTTGGTGTGAGCTTTAAAATGCTTGAGAAAGAAAAGGGCAAAAAGACAAAGCTTCTTTAGAAGGGGAATATTGTCAAGGAGAGAATCATATCTATTAGATAACTTGTCAACTATAGATGAAAGTTATCTATGATTTCTATAGATAACGATTATTAACTTGAGCAGGAGAGGTTCCTAATAATTCTTTCTCTATTTCAGTAGGAAAAGTTTAGTCCTGGAGCTCAATAATGCCAATTTCCAGACAATAAGGACAAAGTTTGGAAGACACAAAAAAATGGTGAGATTTATGGCTTCATTGATCTTTGTGGGATGGTTATTATCATTTCAAGTGAGAGTAGAAGTCTTTCCTCAGTGCCCCGCGTGCAGCCAGAGTCCCAGGGAGCACCTCTATCCGCAGGCCGTCTGTTCTATCACATGGTCTCATTGCTGTGTGTTTTCTCAAGGTGACAACCTTCCTCATTGAGACCCTTGGTGCTGTTCTCAATGTCAAACCATGCCCACAAATCTAGTCTATTTCCTGAGGAGAAGGCAGCTCATGACTGGCCTGAGAGGGCTCAGCTAGCCTCTCAGGAAAATAAAGGGATTCAAATACCTTCAGAGAACAGGCATGTTCCTTGCAATCAGGATCTGCGACTGAAGGGCAGATAAACAATGTGCACCCAAGCCAGGCATTGCCCTAGCAACACAGGCAGCTTCCAGCTCTCAGTGCAGAGCTCTTCGTTAGGCTAACTAGCACTATGAGAGTATGATCATAAACTATTCATATCAGATTCACATCCACCAGGTGAAAGAGGGCTGGAGGAGAACTGGGTCTATAGAATGACCCTCGGGTTCCGTTTCTGAAGCTGCCAAGCAAAACAGCCCCAAATTTCAACAACTAGGATATAAATTCACTTTTGATGATGTTCATTGTGTGCCTTCAGGAAGGAGCAGACTAATAAATGCTTCCCACCTGTATGTTTCAAATGTGTAAAGAGATTTTTCTAAGGCATAGAGATTATTTTCAATGGCTCAGGAATTCAGAAGAAAAAGAAGTCAGAAAACAACAGATGGAGCCTTAAAATAGAAGTCACGGAGCCACGTGCTGGTGACTCACAACTGTGATCCTAGCTACTCAGGAGGCTGAGAACTGAGGAATGCAGTTCAAAGCCAGCCTGGGTAGGAAAGTCCATGAGACTTTTATCTCCTATTAACCACCAGAAAACCAGAAGTGGCGCTGTGACTCAAGTGGCTGAGCACTAGCTTTGAGTAAAAATGCTTAGGGAAAGTGCAAAGACCCCAAGTTTAAACATGACTGACAAAGACAAAAATAAAAATGACAAAAAGATCAATCAAATACCTTAAAATTTAAACATACAGTCCCTGAAATAAGACTGGATTTCCTGAAAGAGGAAAAAAAGTCATCAGATAAGCTAAATTCTGGACCAAGAACATTAGGAGGAAAATTTATGAAATAACGATGGAAGTATACAGTTTACAAAAAATGCAACAGTGAACAGACTAGATGGAGCAAAGTATGTTTTAAGTCTCCCACAGGTGAAACTCTGTAGACAGAAAAATTAGTTTATTACTTTCTAGTTGGTTGGTATATAAGCAAAGCCACTAATGTAATGAATTATGCCTGACTTTTCTATATTTGAGTATGAGAATAAATTTGATCAAAGAATACATGAAACATTTATTCCACAAAGGCATCCTCAGATCGTCTCTGAAATTATAGCAGGTCAGTTCATTTCTTTGTCAAGAGGAAGAGAAAATAGTTGTAGTAGTCACAGCACTAGAGGGATCTTGCCCTTTCCCACTTATGCTCAAAATCACAAGAAATTAAAGAGTAGACATTGTTTCCTGTGGAGAACATTCCTTCCTTGCTTGTTCTCTCTAGTTAATTTCCACAAAATAACAAGCCCCATTGGGATATTTTACCCACTTTCTTGGCTCCAGGACATTTTGTTCCCATAGCTCCTATGAGTCTGGTTGTACTTTGTGAATCCTATTCCTAGTGGAGACATGATAAATATATCTATGCATACACGAGGGATGTCCGGATTAGGTAGCACATAAACCTAAGTCAACGTTAGAAAGGGTGAGAGAATTATATATGAGTTCTCTCTTCCCTAAATATCAGTTCATCTATTTGAAGCCACAATAAATCTGAGCTGCTGGGCCCTTCAGTGTGTGAAGGGGTCCTGCCCTGGAAATCATTCCATTCCTCTTCACTCTGTGTTCACGGACTCCACAGTGACTGGTGAACGGCGGCTGCGTCTTGTCATGAGTTAACCTTTGTGGAAAGCCCTAAGAGGAAACTCTCCTCTTTCCAGGAAGGGAGCAGGTGGTCATTTGTGTGATGGATTTTTTCCATATTGAGAAGTAATTGGGCTAAGCATAAAATAACAGGGACTCTTATGACAGAAATCCATTCTCAATTGAGTTTTGCTTCCGTGGATCTTCTTGGAAGAGAAAAGTTTCAACACCAATTAACAGCTACTTGATAGAGCATTACCCAGCTCATAACTGACATGTCTCATTTTCAGTTGTAAGTCTCAAGTTTTTCTTTTTAGACAATTGACTCTTTATTTATTATACAATTTCAGACAGACTGCAATAAAAGAACACTATTCAAAATTCAATCATCATTGCCTGTTAATGCCAGAGGACTGCTTTTCATAGACCTAGGTTACTTTAATAATCTTTTAAATATAATTTATTTTGATGCAATTTGTGTTGAATTCTTGTTTAAATTCTAAAATGGAATAGATGTTTAAGAGATCCAACTATAAAAGTTTCTACCACCTCATGAAATTAGATAGTGATTTCATAAAATAATGGACCTGATCAACTGGGAAATGAATTTATGTGAAAAAATGTCCTGCAGGTTTATTTTTGATGTGCCTCTTATTTTATAAAAGGAATCTGTGAGAATTCAAATAGCTGTGAGACTTTTTCACATGAGTGTTTTATGTGACACCAATAGGAAATGTCTCATTTACATTTTGCTGAAGTATGAAGCAGAATGTAGTCTATAGGTTTAACAAATACCTACAGATCTTCTCTTCTGTGTTATAGCCACGTGATGATGAGAAGCCTGTAAACCAAGAGCCATCTGTCCTTCTACTTAATTTTATTGTGCTGTTATCATATACAATTCAGAAATACCATTTCTATCTTACTGCCAAATATTACAAGAACATTGAAGTGAAATGAATTATCACAGCTCTCTACATGTATGCAAACTAGGTCTAATAATTGGAAGGTTCTTTACACAGGAAGTTATCATGTATGTTTCTACATAGATATATTTAATTCCATGTTCAACCCTCTGATTTACATCTGATATATGTTACTAATAAATGATATAAGGTATTTGTTGTCATATTATATTATTGATATATATGTAGGTGTACATATATTGAATATATAAAAATGCTTGGCAACTTCCAAGTGTAGGCTGAATATTAGGTGTATGTGTAAATATAAAATATAAAGTATAGAGTAGAAGAGAGTCATATTACAAAAAGCCACAGCAATCTATAGTTCTCTAAACAATTCAAGTTTACACTATCAACAAGAGTCACAATTCTCACAAATAATTCTGTGTGTGTGTGTGTGTGTGTGTGTGTGTGTGTGTGTGTGTGTGTTGTGGAGCTTGAACTCTGGGTCTGGGCGTTGTTCCTGAGTTCTTCTGCTCAAGGCTAGCAGTCTACCACTTTGAGCCATAGCACCATATCCAGTTTTCTGGTGGTTAATTGGAGATGAGAATTCCACAGACTTTCCTGCCCCGACTGGCTTTGAAATGTGATTCTCAGATTTCAGCCTTCTGAGTAGCTAGGATTACAGGTGTGAGCCAGTGGCACCTAGCTATAAATCATATATTTTTTATTGTGAAAATACCATACAGAGGGGTTACAATTACATGGGCACGATAATGAGTACATTTCTTATCAAGCATTGTTGCCTCTGCCTTTGTTTCCCCTTCCCATCCCTTCCCATCCCTTCCCATACCCTACCCCTGCCCTCCCGCCAGATCCCTCCCCCCACCAAAGTTGTAAAGTTCGTTTTTCAAAATAACAACTTGTACATCTCATTGTTGTAATGGGTCCACCCGTATCCCTAGTTAAATGATTTGTTTTTCCCTTCCCCTCCACA